GGGGCAATCCCTTCACCTTTCTGAGTCCAGCTCCAGACGTGCGATGCATCTTCCTGGGTGAGGTATGCACACCCACGAGGTGCCTAGGAAATAAAACAGAAATGCAGGAATCGAGAGGCAGAGAGGGCCAGTCCCCGTTGTTGGATACGATCATGTGCGAAGCCCTTTATAGGCACCCGTTTATTTAATTTTACCTACAGGGTGGATACAGCTAGTGTCCCGTGAGGGAGGCAGGGGTCGCAACCTGAACGCCGGGTGAGCTGTGGCGGGCGAGGGTCGGTGTGGACTGGGATCGGGTGGAAGCGCTTCTTGGTCCCTGAGGTAGGTCCCTACTCCACGACTGAGGTAGGTGGGGGGAGCCTCCTCTTGAGGCCCGGATCTGGCAGGACCAAGGCCTTCTGGGCCTCAGGGGTACTGTCGGAGCCCTGGGAGCCCAAAGGTGGTCCGCGTGCAGCCCGCACCCGGCGGCGTTAGGACCGAGCGGCAAGGGCACCGTCCACAGAGCCCCGCCTCCTCCTGCAGGTGAAGCGGGGCAGTGACGTCATGGGCACGCAGCACGTGCACGTGGCTGTTCAGAGCGCAGGCGCGGGAGCCCCTCGGGCCTCCTGGGCATGGGCGACGTTGCCCGGGCTGGTGAGCCACCCCGACGTACCAGGAGCATGGCCCGGAGTGTGCCAGGTCCCAGTGGCAGGAGGGAGAGGTGAGTGCGGAGGCCAGGCATGTGGGCCACCCGCAGGCCTCGCGGGTCCCTGTGGGTCGGGGGCTTTCTCTGGGGCACAGCAGGGGCATTGGAAGGCTCGGCAGCGCCGACCTCACACAGGGTGCATGTGGGGCGGGGGGGTAGTTGGTACTGTGGGAAGCAGTCATTGGAGAGCTGGAATCCAAATTTCCCGTGGGGTTGTCTGCACACCAGGTCTCAGGTCCAAGACCAAGGTCGGGAGGGGCAGTTTGAGCACCTGCCTCAGGCACCACTGCCCCTGTGTGAATTTGCTGTGTTGGAAACTGCCGCTCTCTGCGGGACCTTGAGCCCCCTCCCCCCAGAATCAGCCCAAGTCCATGTTGAGCCCTGGGGGGTCTCTCGAGGATGGTGGCGGAGGCCAGGTGAGGGCTGCCCAGGTGACAGGGCTGCAAAGCCGGCCTGTAGGTAACACGGCCCCACACCCCCTCCTTCGGGTGCTCTGCACCTTCCCCAAAGCTGAGGCAGGCTCTGCCCCGCACAGGCTGCCGCTCCAGAAGCCCCTCCCTGGAGGCCGGGGGGCGAGACCCAGGCCTGGGGTCTCTGACCGCTGTCTCTCCGGGGCTTGCCGCTCCAGGCCTGGCCCGCACTTGGCCCCAGCATGCAGCCAGCCACCTCCGGTGGCCGTCCCTGTCTTGCCTGGCAGTTCTTGTTAAGCACAAGCCACTCCTGGGGCGCCTGGGGGGCTCAGTCGGTTAAGCATCCGACTTCGGCTCAGGTCATGATCTCATGGTTCTTGAGTTTGAGCCTTGCGACGGGCTCTGTGCTGACAGCTCAGAGCCTGGAGCCTGCTTCCGATTCCGTGTCGCGCTCTCTCTGCCCCTCCCTCACTCGTGCTCAGTCTCTCTCACTCTCAAAAATTAAAAAAAAAAAAAACATTAAAAAGAGAAAAAAGAATAGGCCGCCGCACCCCCTCCCCCCCACAGTAAGGCAAGAAGCCTGACGTGATCTCCCCAGGCCTCCCTCCCTGCCTTAGTGTGTCGCTGCCTAGCACTCAGAGGGCCTGGTCACAACACAGAGTCGATCAGGTTACCCCAGCTCCTCATCACATTCCGGATCCTGGTCCTCACCGCCGCCCACAGGGCCCCTGCCCCCCATTCCACCTCCCCCTGCCCCCACTCCGTCCCCTCCAGCCGGGCCAGCCCTTGCCCTCTGATGGGCTGAACCGGTTGCCCAGCGCAGGAAGGCCCTGCGGCTCCGTCTCCCGGGAATGCGGCCTCTGCGCTGAGTCCTCCTGTCGTTCCAGGCGGGATTCCAGTGTCCCCTCAGAGGCACCTTCCTGGGCTTGCTTTCTAGCCTAGCCCCACCCACTGTCCGACCACCTTGTTGAGCTTTGATCCGAGTACTGTCACTGCTTGGAGTGCCCTTGTTCCCTCAGTTCCCTGTTTGGTTATTTACTGTCCGAGGCCCTGGACGTCTGACTGAACGCTAGGAGCGCAGAGGCTGTTTACTCCTGCGTCCTTTGGGCTCAGAGTCGTGCCCGGAACATAGTAGGGGTCTGGGGAGCGGGCGTTGTATGCAGCTCAGCTATCCTGTAGGGAGCACAGCACCGTTCAGAGAAAGATTGCTGGCTTCTGTGCAGCCTTGACCCCAGCAAGGGGCTCTGCCTTCCTGTCTGGGGTGCAGTAACCCATCTGCCAGCGAGGTTGGGACGATCAAGCAGGTGGAGGTGAGGCCCACAACCATCCCTTCCTCTTCCCTCCCCCACTCTTTAAGAAACCGACTGCCTGTAGAGTGGGACGAATCTGGTGTGAGTCTTGGCTCTCACTTTCGAGCTGTGTGGCCCTGAGTAAGTGACTGTAGCTCTCTGAGCCTCCATTTCCTCATCTCTAAAATGGGGATCCGAGTCCCCAGCCCCGGGGGGACGGCTTTGAGGCAGGTCCCCTGTCTGTCTCCAGGGCGGCCGCTTGCCCATTTTCTGCACGCCCCGCGATGCCCAGCTCCCCCCTCCTCCCAGCCGCACCTGGGCCCCCGACCCTGCCCCCGCCACACACAGTCTCTCCTATCACTTTTCATTCTTGTAAATTGACGTCAGTGCTGCTGAATCATGAAGCTGAGGTTTGAGAGAGACACAGAATCTGCACCGGCAGGGAAGCCGCATGGCACACACTCCTCCTCCACCGCCCCCTCCCCCACCCCTGCCCCCAGCCCTTTTCCTTTGCAGCCGGGCTGTGTGCACACATCGCAGCCACAGGGGCCGGAGGGCGGCTCCCGAGGGGTTGGGGGGGAGGGGGCTTCAGGGTCACTTTGGGTCACTCTGCATCGGTTCGTAGAGGTTCTATAAAAGTGACTCACAAACAGAAGGGGCCACCTCTGGGGAATGTGATCAGCGGGGCCTTCAGTCCTCCCCATTCAGCTCCAGGTTTTATAGTAGGAATGGGTTAGTGTAGGGAGGATGCAATTAAAAAATATTTGTTTTAGAGGGATGAAAAAGCCCTGAAACTCTTGTGGACTCATTCGTTTCTCTTTAGATGAGGACCTGTTTCCTCATCTGTCAAACAGGGATGTTAACAGGACCCAGATCACAAGGCTGGCGGGGGAGGTGGCGGGGGTCGTACAGGTGGGAGGGGCCGGGAAAGGCGCCTGCAGTTAGCGCTATAGATAAATGTCAGTAGCAGCGGAGGTGATCTTTAGGCACCTCGTGGGGAGGCTGTGTTGCCCGGTGGTACCCAGCCTCCCAGCTGGCACCAAGTTTGAAAACCTGGCTTCACCACCGATCGTGTGCCCTAGTTTGCCTCTCTTGAGCCTCAGTGTTCCTCTCTGAAAAATGGGAGAGAGGTTTCTAACTCGCAGGCGGTGGTGATGATTAAACAGGGTAGCACAGGACCCCGTGTACGGCAAGGGCTCACACAGGCATCACCTTCCCGGGTTTCTCCAGGCACTGTGCAAGCGGGGAGGGCGACGGGGCAGGTGGGAAGGGGGACAGGACTGGACGCACACACCCGCAAGCGAAGGGGCAGAGAGGGGGAGAGGAGAAAAGCAGTCTCTCCTTGGAGACACAGAGCCCAGATGTCACCTCCCTCCCTCCCACCCCACCTTGTTAAAGGAAGCAATTGCCAAGGCTCTCTCAGGTCCTAAATCTCTCCTGGCCGTCAGTCACCTTGAGGGCTGGAGCCTCCTTAATCCCCAGACAGGCCTGGGCGGTTCCAGTTCTCTGAAGTCTGGAAGGTATCATTAAGTATTAGGACACTCCATCGTAAGCCTGCAGAGGACGGCCTAACCGCCAAAAGTGAAGTGTGCCGTGAAGTTGTTGAATCCTAAACCCAAAAGTGACTCAGTTCAGCCGGCGGGGCCACCCAGCCCTGAGCTGCCAGCACGGCTTATCTGGGAGGCCACCGACACAGGAGTGACTGGAAAGCCCACGTCGGGGACACTTTCTGGCCACTTGGGCCAGCCCCGCAGGGTCCTGAGCAACCCTTCCCTCCCCCAGCTCCTGAGAGCTTCACCTTGTCCCCGATGCACGATGCACGTAGGCACTTGCTGCCGAGGGTTGCCTCCTCCAGCAAACCCATTTTAGAGGTAGACACTGAGGCCCCGGGAGGCAAAGGGAATTGCCCAAAGCCGCGAGCAGGGCCCTCCAGCCACCACAGACCACAAAGCAGTTTTCTGGCTGCAGGTTGGGTGTTCACCGAAAAGTACACAAGAACGGGATGGGAAGAAGGAAGTCAGCCCGTCCTGTGCCCCCCATCCCACCTAAAAAGTCTCCCCTGGGGCTGAGTTTCAGAATGTGCCACTCCTCTTCCAAAAACTCACCAAGCCCCCGCCCTCCCCCCACCTTCCTGGAAGTCGCTGTGGTCGCAGAATGAAAGAAGTTTCCTCTCTGTCATCCATTTCAGACAGATGCTGGGTGGACAGCCACAAGACGCCCAGGTGTCTTTCCTGACAGGGGCAGGGCGGCAGCCACATTCACCCCTGCCCATCCTGCTTCTCTCCTCTGTGAAAAGGAGGAGAGAGTCTTGCTTCACAGGCTCTTCTGACCGAATCGCGGAAAACGCAGAGAGGGGACGGCACAAGTCAAGGGCTCAAACTGCCATTTTACCCTACCCGACACCAAGACTGGACCAGCTGTTCCCGTCCCCCCGAGGGCGGGAACCACGCAGGGTCCCCCCCTCCTCCCGCCCGCAGAGAACTCAGGTCACACTCCCCTCTCCAGCCAGATGCCTCGGTCCTAGGGTCGTTCTCCGTGGGCCCCTTCAGAACCCCCGGGGAGTCCTGGGAGTTCAAAGCACACGCTCTAGAAACCGGTTTTCTTAAAAAAAAAAAAAACTTTCATAATAAAGTTTATTACCTAAACTGGTTGTAAAAAATATAAAATAGGATTCTGCACGGCAGAAAAATAAAGCCAGAGACCCTCCCCCAACCCCTGGTTTGTGCAAAGATACTGGGTATATGTAAACATGAAGAGGTAGGAGGTACAAATTCAGGTCCTGGCCCCACATACAGTTAAGCTGCTACAACCACCAGAGAGGCCCAGAGGGAGCACCAGGAGGGGGGGGCGCCCCCGTCCCAAGAGATGGGGAGGGGTCTGCGGCCTCGTCTCCAGCGGAGAGGGGGAGGCACCTCGCCCCCACACCCGCTCCCTCCAACCCAGGTGGGGAGGGCACCCACGTGGTCCCCGGGAAATAATAATTAATAATACAAAATAATAACAGCCCCCGAGTTAATGCTGCGTGCGTGGCCGGTCAGATCTGGAAGGGGAAGGAGCTCAAGTAATCGCGGAGGACGGGGTTGAGGGGGATGCGCGCCAGGTTCTCGCGGCCCACTGTGGCCACGATGCGCTGGCGACACAGCTCCTGCAGCGGCCGCACGCGGAGCTGGCGCAGCGGGGCCCCGAGCATGCGGCGCGGCGCCGCCACGTAGTGCTCCAGCAGCTCGAAGAGGCAGTCGAAGCTCTCGCGGCTGCCGTCCAGGTGGAAGCGGCCGGCCTGGAAGTGCACGCGGATGCTCGTGGGGCCCGAGGCCATCTTCACGCTGAGGGCGAAGAAGCAGTTCCGCTGGCGGCTGTCGCGCACCAGGAAGGTGCCCACGGGCTCGGCGCGCAGCCGCTCGTGCGCCCCGTGCACGCTCAGGGGCCCCCAGTAGAAGCCGCAGGCGTCGAGGAGCGCGCTGGCCCGGGTGATGCGCCGGTACTCGGCGTGCGAGCGGAACGTGCGGAAGTGCGTGTCTCCGGGGGCCGGGGCCGGGGCGGGGGCCGCCGGGCAGGGCCGCGGGCGCGCGGGCGCCGCCGAGGGCGAGGGCGGGGACGAGGGCGAGGAAGGCTCTGGCCGCCGTCGGGACTCTGCTGCCGTGGAGATTGCATTGTCGGCTGCCACCTGGTTGTGTGCTACCATCCTACACGCGGGGCCGGCCGGAGGGGTGGGCCATAGCGTCCGGAGGTGCGCTGGGGGAGACACAGGGGTGAGCCGAGAGCCGGGGCGCGCCGGTCCGGAACGGCCGGGGGGCGCAGGGCCGAGTCGGCGCGGCCCCCGGGAGCCTCCGTGGGCTCCTCTAGCAGATGGGCCTCCCCGTCCGCGGAGCTCCTCCAGGCAGGGTGGGGGCCCGGCCGGGGCGGAGTGCGGCCGCCGGGTCGCCCGGAGTTTGGATGAGAGAGGGGGGCGTGGAGAGAGGTGCGGGGAGCCAACCTGCCCAAGACTGCAGCCACCCGGGCCTCGGCTCGCCGCCCCGCGGCCGCCGCCTGCTGGCCAGACCGGGGACTGGCGCCTCGTCCGGGCAGTTTGGGCAAAGGCGGAGAAGCGGCGCTGCGGGAACCCCGCGCGCGGGGGGCTGCCAGGGTGGGGCCGGCGGGGGCCAGGGGCGTGGCGGCCGCGACCCCATCACGCGCCCCCCGAGGCCGGGCCTGACACCCGGCCGTCCTGCCCTGTCCTCCCCTCTCCCTCCTGCTCCCTTGCCTAGTGCCCGGCTCACCTGGCGGCGGGGCGCGGGGCGCCGCGGGCGGGGCGGCGGGGGGCTCCGGGGCGGCTCTCGCGCATGCTCTGGGGCCGGGAGCCGTGCAGCTGCCACGGCCGCAGCTCGCTCTGCTCCGCGCCCGCCCCTGCACCAGTCTTTTATTTTAAACGGGTAGGAGGTGGGGCCGGGTGGCCGCGGCCCCGCCCCCCGCAGGCTCCACCCCCGCAGGCCCCGCCCCTCCGCGCTACTTTCGGTTTCCATTTCTGTGGCGGCGCGAGGCGCCGGCCACTCGAGCTCGACCTTTCCCACGCACTCGGGGGACCTCCCCTGAGAGCCCCCCTCCCCACCCGGCCTCCCACTCGTCCTAGGACCCCCTCCATCAAGGGCTCTGGACCCCCTGCCAGTCCGATGCCCCCTTGCACCCGGAGGCCCTGCCCCTACTTTGGCCCCCACTACTACCCTAGGTCGCGGATCTCTGCAGCCAAGCCGTGTAGTATATACTCTGGACTGGCTCCGACACACCCCTCGCCCCTCCCCCTCCCCCTGCCTGGTGTCGCGGCGCCGGCTCTGCTACATCTCTGCCCTCTGATTCCCTGGAGCCAGACCCCACCTCCCGATTCTGGGGTCCCGGCTGCAGACCCGGCCCCGGACCGCACGGGGCTGCTCCCGTCCCGCCGTCCCCCTACCCCCCGCAGCCCCAAACCCTCTGGAGGCTGCCCCCGCACCCTCCCAGCCCGTCACCGTCCCTGGTCTCGGCCTGGGCTTCCCAGGAAGCCGTGGCCTGACCACAGGCTTCAGAGGAACCCTTCGGAAGCGCGAGAAAGGCGCCTCGACTGCGGATCCGAGTTCCTCGGAAACCGGGCGGGGCCGTCAAGGGCAGCCTTGGCTCTGCCTCCCCACCAGGGGACAGCCGGGGAAACTGAGGCCCGGGAGAGGGGCTGTGATCTGCAGGAACCCGCAGAGGAGGCGCTCTGGACGAGCATGCCCCTCCTCTCTTATTCTGGGGAGGGAAACAGCTGGGCACCTCCAGACGCACTTTGGAGCCTAATGAAAAGATGGTCCATTGATGTCATGATTCCCAAAACCTACTTTGAATTTTCCTGGCCCGCCCTCCTCTCCCCCAGCTACCACCTTACAGAGTCAGTCCCCTCCCGCTGCTCCGTCCAGTGGCTGCCACCACCCTGGGCTCAGACCTCCGGTTTGGGACCCTGGGGGCTTGATGGTGCCAGCTATACTTTGTACACCCGTGTGCAGGATCCAGTGACCTTGTCTGTCGTGGAAGAGCACGGAGGAGGTGCCTGCGGTACGTGTATTTTTGAAAGCAAGAAAGAGCACATGAGGGTCGGGGCCAGTGTGTGGTTAGTCACAGAGTTATGCAGAAGACTGGCCGGGCTGGGAGCTTGGCGGGTGGCCTCACACTGGCACATACCGCCCTCTACAGGCCCCTCTCAGGTTGCAGCCCAGCCCTCTCTGGAAGCCCTTCTCCTCAAAGCCCTAACAGGCTCCAGGTCCTCCGGCCGGTCCCCTTGGTGCTTTCCTTCCCTGGCCCCAGGCTGCCCGTGTTTCCTCTTAAACACACGGGGACAGCCCAGAACCAGGCTTGCTTAGGACCCCATCAGCTCCCTGAATTCACATTGGCAGGAGCTGGTACTGGTCATTCACGTAGTTGTTCCGGGTCGCGAGCATGTAGGCATATGTGTCTGAAGGTGTATGCAACGAGGTGGGAGGGGTGTGGAGACGTGCGTGTGCCCGTGGCCAGGTGCTGTGGTCATTCCAGAGCACCTGCCGGCGCCGTGCCCTGTGGTGGGGGTGGGGGGAGAAAAAGGTAGTGGTGAAAAGTCTGACTTTGGACCCAGACTACCTGGATTCTGGTTCAACTGTACAACTTTCCAGCCTTCTGACTTTGAGCGTGTGACGAGCCCCTCTGCTTCGGTTTCTCCATCTCTGAAACAGAATAAAGAGTAATACCTCCTTCCTAGCAGCAGAGGTTAGAGGGATTATGGGTCAAGGGCTTAGAACTGTCCCTGGTCATAATAAGCATTCAGCAGGTGTTTGTTTGCTCTCGCTCTTGTTCCTCTGAGGGTGTGTTAGATCCTGTCGCCACGTGGCTTCATCCCGTGTCCATTTAAAAAAAAATTTTTTTTTTATGTTTATTTAATTTCGAGAGCGAGAGACTGAGAGTAAATGGACGAGGAGCAAAGAAAGAGAGAGGCACAGAATCCGAAGCAGGCTCCAGGCTCCATGCTGTCAGCACGGAGCCCGGTGCGGGACCTGAACTCACGAACCGCGAGATCATGACCTGAGCTGAAGTTGCTCAACCGACTGAGCGCCCCAACCCCCTGTCGCTTTTAGAAGTCCTAAGCTAAGGAGCCCAGGCCAGAGGAGGCACGGGCATAGTAGAAGGAGGCGAGTTTCATGGGGGTAAACCAGGCCCCTGGGTGCTGGCGGGGGAAAGGGTAGCGCCTCCTTCTCACTTGAACTGGGGGTGGCGGTCCAGGCCCAGAGCAGGCAGGCCGGGCTGCTTCCTGCAGGGCAGCCTTCCTGCCAGCAGGCTTCTCGGCAGGCCTCTGGGCAGAGGGAAATCTATAAATAGCTGATGATCCCTATGCCCCCGTAGCCCCCACCAGCAGCTTCCATGCCTCTCTGTGAGAGCCACCCCTTTTCTTGGGGACTGGGGCCCCCTTCTCACAGCCCCCTCTTGTTGCCACGCCCCCACCCGTGCCTGGAAAGCCCCCCTCCTTCCTTTCATTCACTCACACCTGGGGTGTACTGGCTAAGGTGACTCTGTGCTAAATGCTTTACAGTCCTTAGCTCATTGGACTGGCAGGACAATCTAATCTGGCCATTGTACAGATGGAGAAACTGAGGCTTAGAAGGAGAATCACTTTGTTCGGGGCACACAGCTCAGAAGGGGCAGAGCTGCAGGGTGAGCTTCCACCCTTGTCCGCTGTGCTACAGACTCCCTCCTCCAACCAGTGCCTGGCGATCGCAAATCCTGGCCTGTCTGCTAGGAAAATAGACGCCCACGAAGTCAGAGACTCATTTGTATCCTGAGCCTGCCTGGGGAGGAGCGGGGACTGTCCTGCCGGCTTCCATCTCACATGGGAGCTTGAGGAGGCCCCAGGTCTCGGCGTCGAGGCCTCCACCTTGCCCTTTGTGGCTCTGAGTCCTTCCCCAGGGTCTGTTTTCTTGCCCGTACGGTGGGCTCGGCCCCTCCTCCAGCCTGCCCAGACCCTGCTTGTGAACGGCGTGGTGAGTCAGGCTCAAGTCACTGACCACATGCCAGGACACTTAGTGACGACGGGACAGTCGCTGCAGCTTTGGTTTCATTTTCTGAAGCCCTGGCTTCAAAATGAAACCAAATCCAGATACCAAAAGGGAAAAAGAAATATGCTGATTGACAGACCTCTGCCTTCTTGGCTATTCTCCCTGGGGACCCAGGGCCGGGCCCCAAGGATGCTGGGCAGCGCCGGAGCCCCGACGAGCTCAGGCTCCACGGCAGGACTGGGCTGCGTTCCGACTCCACGCCTGCTGCCTCCCAGCTGCGTGCCCTTGGCCAAGCGACTTGCCCTCTCTGGGCCTTGTCTGCCCCATCCGCAGAACAGCCCCTGGAAGTTTTGTACCTCACAGAGCAGCCGTGTGTGCCAAAGCCCGGCACAGAGAAGGCGCTTGGCACAAGCGACTTGTTGTCAACAGGGCAATGGGGACTGCCCTCCGGCCGCAGCTGGCTGGGCTGCAACCTGACGTGTGGGGTGGTCTTGCACCCCACTGGGTGAGCCCAGTCAGCTCAGAAGCGAGGGCGCCGCCAGCAGCAGCGGGGAATCAAAATCCTGGCCCACAGGGCTCCGTTTTTCAGTTTCTCTTTCCAGCTTTGTCAAAGTCCTGCTGGGAAAAGCTGTCCCGGGCCAGGGCCTGCGGTCCTGGCGTTGGCCTCTGCCCCTGTGCGCCTCCAGCCCACCTGCCTCTAACCCGTGGGGGTAGTCGAGGTTCCCATGGGAGTCTGTGCTTCTGGGGAGCCCCGAGCAGTGGGGCTCACATTGTGGAGACTGCTCTCCACCAGCCTGGGTTTCAGTCTGTCTCTTAATAAGCACGTGGCCTGGGGCAAGCTTCTTAGCTTCTCTGTGCCTCAGTTTCCCGATCTGCAAGATGGGGACAATAAGGCATCTATTTCCCTCCTTCAGTATTCATTCAAGCGGGTATTTGTTGAGTGCCTGCTGTCTGCCAGGCACTGGGAACTCAGGGGTCTTCAAGCAGACAGGGAGAAGGCAGGGAATTCACAGGAGCGTGTCACACTGTACTAAGTGCTGTGGGGGAAATAAACGTGGGAACAGGGAGCGACGAGGGCTTTGCGGGTTTGGGGCAAGAGGGGGATCAGGCAGTCAGAGAAAGCCTTTCGGATGGTGGCGGAGTTGACGTCTTTCTAAAAGTGGGCTGAAGAGGGTTCCAGGCACAGAGAGCAAGCAGCTCACGCAAAGGCCCTGCGGTGGGATTGGCAGGCCTGTGTGAGGACCAGAGAGAGGGCGTAGTGCTAGTGCAGACAGCAAGGGGGTGAGAGCGGGGATGAGACACAGGGGTTGGCAGGGGTCCAGGCAGCCGGGGGGTCCTGGCTAGAAGGTGGGAAGGGTTTGGATTTCACCCTGACGGCTGGAGACAGCCCCAGAAACGCCATAGGGCTGGACGTGGAAAGAAGCCTCTGACGGCTGACCTTCCAGACAGCTGGGTCTTTAGCCACAATGACCCATGGTAGGGGCCTTGGCACATGCCTCACGACTGTCCCCGACCCGCCAGGGCCTCACCACCCTAGTCCCCTCAGAGGGGTGCAAAACCAGTTCCAAGGGGCAGCCGGAGGGCACACTGTACGAGAGAGCACTGCTTGGGGAGTCCAAGGCCTGAGTCCTGGGGGTCAGTCCTCGCTTCCCAGGAGACCTTGGGAAAGGATTCACAGTTTGCTGGGCCCCTAGCTCTGGGCTAGGTGACAGCTTTTTGGCATATCGTCTTACTCTTTCCCGTGATCTTACAAAATGGGAGCAATCAGGTGTCGTCATTTACCAGAGGAGAGAAGCACTATCCGTGAGCTGGTGGGACGAGCAGTAGTTGTGGAGAGGCTGAGCCTCCCCGGAGGCCTCTGTAGGTGGAGGCCTCTGCTTCGCCGCGTGGGGCGGAACCTGGTCCCAGACCCTCCCGACCGCCGTGATGATGGCATGTTCCAGGGAATGCGTGCGCCGCTGGGGACACTCGAGTCCGAGGAGAAGGTTCTCCTCTGGAGCAGAGGAGGCCGAAAGGCCCGGAGTGATCGCATGAGCTGGTGCCTGGACTCCAGAGCCCCTCGCTGGTCCTGGAGAGGCTTGATGAGAGCCTTCCAGCGGCCTCCCCGCCCCCCTGTGACAGGCGAAGAAAGAGCTCAGAGATCAAGTAGATCAGGTTATTTAACAGCCTCCGGAAAGCAGCGGCGACTGTATTAATAAGTCTAAAGTAGGAGGGGTGGGAAAGAGGACCTGAGAGCACTGGTCGTGGAGTCCACACATACCTGGTTCCAGGCCCAGCTCCCCTGCCTCGTGTCTGCTACGAGTGATGGCTTCAGGCAAGTGGACTGAATCCAGAAGCTGCAAGAACACCACAAACTCCAAGCCTGGTAGCCCCAGTGCCTTTGCATCAGTAAATCCCTGGGGACCGCACTACTGAATCCCTGGGGACTCTTCTAATTGGCCGATCGGGTCCCCACCCGACCCGCCGTAGCAAAGTAGGTGTGAGCTGCTGACAGCGAGAAGCAGTGGCAGTTCCCTCTGGCAGCAGACAGAGTGCAAAGGAGAATGTGTGAACGCTAGGAAAGCAGACACGAAAGCAGACACACACAGCAGACCAGGGACCCTGAGACTCAGGGCCACGGATGGCTCCTCAGCTCGCGGGGCCGCTCCCTGCAAGAAAGCCACTGCCAGCGGCGGGTACCGCGACTTGACTCGGTCCCCCTTCTCAGGTTGAGGCGGCATCTCGTCTCCAGAGGCTCGACAGTGGCCGCGTGACCTGGCAAGCCCAGGGTCCGCTGGCACAGAACGGGCACCCGGCCAGGCGGGCAGGGTCCTGAGCGGGCTCTGGGAGGAGGTGATCCTTGACCTGAATTTTAAAGAACAGGGAGGGCTTGGCCGAGGGACAAGAAGGGAGCGTGCTTCTGACAGAGCACGGCCCGGGCAAAGGCCTGGAGACAAACATTTGAGGACCCGAGTGGCAGGTGGCAAGAGATGAGGCAAAGGGAAGCAGGAAGGGTTTACAGGTGGTGGCTTGGCTGGGGGAAGGCCAGGTGCTGGCCTTGGCATTTCCTGGGGCTGCAGTGATGAGCCCCTCTAGGGAGAACCTTCCAGGCCACCTTGCCAGACCAAGCCCAGAAACGGGGGCTGCTGCCATTGGTTTGAGAACAGGTGACTGTCCTCAGCCGTCACAGAGCTTAGCGTCACCGCCCCTGGACCATCTCCCTTCTGAGTCAGCAAAGCTTGGCCGCACACCTGCTGGACACTTCGCCAATGCTCGTTTCTGTTTTCTCCGTAACTCTCTCGTTTCCTTGTATAAAATGCTTCAAGCGCTTCCCCTCCGCAGACGTAACCCTAGCCACCACCTTGGTCTCTGCGCTTCCAGACTTCTCTATGCACTTACATAGCGCTTTCCCACCCCCATAAAAATAAAGGGTTGTTTTGTGTAGGCTGTTTCCCTCTGTCAATGATAGATCTTTCCCCAGCTTGTTCTTCTCACCAAACATCTGCTGGCAATCCAGAGAGAGAGAGAGAGAAAGGGCACAAGTGGGGGAGGGACAGAGAGAAGAAAGGACAGAGTCCTAAGTAGACTCTGCACCATCAGCACAGAGCCCGACGCGGGGCTCGAACTCACAAAACGCAGGATCAAGACCCGACCCAAAACCGGATGCTCAACCGACTGAGCCCCCCGGGGGCCCCATGAATTATTTCCAGTCTTTGGCTCTTACACACCAGTGTGGCCCTGAACCTCCCTGTACCTCCTCCTGGCATACGTGGGAAAACCAAGTTGTACACTTCAAATGGTAATAGACGCCACCTGTTTGCCTGCCAGCTCACATGGGCACGATTAGCCCTCAGCAGGCACCGCCAACTGTGTCTGCTCCCTTGTACCCTCGCCAGCACTTGTCACGACTCATCGTTTTCCATTTTTGCCCACGAAAAATGCCTAATAAGCCATGCTGCTAAGTACCGGGGGTACAGCGATCCAGAACGGGGGACCCCTTGGACCTCTTCACAAAGCATGAGGTGCAAATAAGGCTCAGAGAGGTTAAGAGACAGGCCTGGGGTCATCCAGCGAGGGAGTGAGGGAGCTGGGAATCGGAGCTGGGGCTGGATGGCTACAGAGTTTGAGTAGTTTTTCCTCCCGAATCGTACCTCAGATGGGGCATCTCAACCCAGGATCTGCTGGGTCCCCTGAGCGACCGACCCCGGGGGCCCGTAGGAATGGTAGCCCTGCCCTGGGTCCTGGCATTTCTACCCCTCACCCCCAGTGTCCCCCCCAAATTAAATCTCTGAACCAGAAAGGCAAGATAGGTTGCTGTCAGAATCTGCACAGCCTTCTCGGTGGCCAAACTGAGCCTGTGTTTCTGTTTCCTGAATTTGGGTTTCCAGCGGACCTGCCCCCCAAACTACTGCCTCCCCAACTGAAACCAAGCAAGTAAAAGAATGAGCCTGTGGTTTGCTGTCTTTCCTCTTGTCATTGCATCTGCGCGGGGGGGGGGGGGGGGGTGTCGTGCACCGGTGAGTGCCAGCTGGCGGCGTGTGCGCTGGGGTGGCAGGGGCGGCGTGCGAAGAGAGGTGTGTGTGGGTGTGTGTGCTGAGGAGCCCACATGCATACCTAGCTCTCTCCGTGTCTGAGTGGGTTCGAAGGGCAAGTCCTTTGTCTGTGTGACTGGTCATCTGTGTGTGTTTGTGCAACTTTTTTCTGAGTGTTGGAAACGTGGGGGTAAGGATGGGTCCGTCAACCACACATGCAACTCTGTCTGCCTGCTTCCCAGTTCACTTCCTCTTGTTACAGAGGTCGTGTCTCCACAATAGATCTCCTGCCTTCAGTGGTGTTATCATAAAAGGACACTGTCCAGGGAACAGGGAGGCCCGTTGGTGGATGGGATTCAAAGTCCCTTGACCTTATCTTCTGACCCTCTGTCTCCACCTGCTCCCTTAAAACGTGCTTCCCAGAAGGGCTCCCCAAACTCTTTTGCCTTGAGGTGTCCGTGACTTTCATGGCATCACATTTTTAATAGGAAACCAGGTGGTTTGGGGCAAAATGTAAATGTCTGATCTCAGACCTGCCGTCCTGCAGACCTTACATCAAACCATTGACCTCTGAGTCTGAGCTTCTTCATCTGTAAAATGGGAACGGTAATGTCTCCTGCCTTGGGTGTGTGGATTCAGTGGAAACATTTATGTCAAAGCATCGGGCACCTCATAGATGCTCAGTAAATGGTAATTTCCCCAGCCCGCCTGGGCCCTCCCCACATCCTCTCATCGGTATGTGGTACTCACCCAAACATTTCCCTGCTGTGGGGAGGCTAGGGGCCCAGGAAGTGCAGGCTGTGTACCTGGCCCCATCCTAGATGCTTCTATGTGCATTAGCTCAGGGAACCCTCCCCAGGAACCCCTCGGGGGATGAGACCCGGGCACAGAGAGGGGAAAGGACTCCCTAAGGCCACACAGCAGAGATCTGAGAGGGGACCTTCCTGGCCTGGCCACTGTTCCGCAGAAGTTGGGCTCCCTGTACCTGACATATAGTGTGATGTTAGTTTCAGAAAGCGAGCACCCCATAAGGCCCCCTCCTGGTTCCCTTCTGTCCACTGCACACACCACGAGCATTTCCACGCCTGCCCCATCTGCACATGCCTCCCTCTGTTCCAGCAGCCCAGATGCCAAGGGAAACACAGAAGGGAATCCCAAGCATCCGGGTGCCCAGGCACTGACAGGGCTGCTGGACTGTGAAGTGAGAAATGATTACCCAGTTAGACGTGGCGGGGGGGTGGGGGTCTTGGAGGAAACAGGCTGAGTTGGAGCTCCCCCAGCTAGGAACTTGGGTCTGACCCTTAGAGGCTTGTGCTAATTCACATGAGGCCCTAACTATTCCCACCATCTGGTGCTTCATATGCCTTGTTAATTTTGCAAAGGCTCCCTGAGCACCTACTGTGTGCACCCATTTTGCAGAGGAGGAGACTGATTCAACGCTTCAGTCCAGACCACAGCCGCACGCCACCAACGGTCTTCTGTTCCCTGTAGCTCTGTCTCCACATGGCAGCGACCACCGTCTTTAGAAACACAAGGGACCCCGCAAAGGGACGCTCTTTCTTTGGCCCAGAATGTTCTTCCCTCAGTTTAGTGTTGCTCTGCATGAAATCGCCTTGCTCCCTTTTTTCCCCTCGTTCTTTCTCTGGACAGGACCAGCGCCCCGCACAGTGCCAGAACATACTTGGTCCCTTAGTAAACGTTTGTTGGGACAAGTGAGCATCAACAGCAGGGAAATGAAAGCCAGGATTCAAACCCAGTGAGCTCTGGACTTCCAAGGGCACATCCCCGACCCCTTCCCTGTCTGTTTCCCGCCACACCTGTGTGCTGGCTACTGCATGTGGGTCACATGAACAGGGTATGGACCTGTGGGCATCCCGTGTGTGTGTGTGTGGTGTGTGTGTGTGTGTGTGTGTGTGCACGCACTCGTGTGCCCCAAGGTGGGAAGTCTAGGGCAGAGGAGGGCTCTGTCCATCTGCTTCCCAGGCTGCCTGGGGAAACCCCGCCTTCATTTCCGCCTCCGTGCTGGCATTGGCTTACACACTTCCACGAGGCCCCCACACAAGCCACGCCCCTGCTCCTTACACAGCCTCGTCCCCTCTTCGAGCTTCCAGACCAGGCCCCCCAAACACGTGACCCTTTTTGTGAAATCAACGCGCCAACTCAAGGGACAGTCATCCAGCATGCAAGCTTTAATCAACGTTGCATAGAAATCACTGTAGTGACATGTTCTTGCAAAAAGTTGGACTTCCTTCTAGCTTGTCGATGGCATTTCTTGTTTGGGGTGCAACCAACACAGGAACAAGCCGCAGGGGGCTGTCTCAGTCGTACTTCCGCCCTGAGGGGTGGGAATGGGAAAGGACCTTTTAACCGCACATCGATCGCGTCACGCAGTCGCTCCCTCCTTGGGGTTTTGGACTGCTCATCGGCACCTAAGCACGGGGGTGCGGTGTGGGTAGAGCTTAGACTGTCAACATCCTTTCCTCATCTGTGAATCCATCCATTTGTCCCCCGGATCACCCAGCCACCCATGAATTCACCAGTCCATGCATTTATCCAACGTCATTTCACTAAACTCTATCCAGGCTACCCGCTCGGCCTCCGTCGAAGCGTCTTCCTTCCACTGGTGCACTCCTGCTTCCAGCTAGCCGGCCAGTCGGCTCATCCACCCTTTTATCCACCCGCTAATCTGCTCATCCACCCACCTAGCCAGTGGTCAACCAATCCAACCAGCTTTCTTCCTGCAGCCATCAAATACGCCCCACCCATTCCCCCCGTCCATTCACCAGTCATGGAGCGGATGCAGTCTGTCCACCCTCCCAGGCATCGCCCTCTCTGAAGGGCGAGTCCGTCAGTGCGTCACCTGTGCAACTGCCCTCTGGTCGCCCTTGCCTGTGGTCCCTGTGTGCTCTGGCGCAGAGGCTGCAGCCCTCACCTCCCTCCCCGCCTAAGGTCCAGCCAGGCTGCTTCCCCCCGTCTGGGGTGGGGGTGGGGGAGGGGGAGGGTCCCCACCTGCTTGAAGGCTACCTGAGTTCCGCCTCTTTGTTTTATGCGCCTGCGGGCTCCTCCTGGCCACCTTCCTCTTGTTCACCTTCCTTTCCAGATTCTTTCTGTTCTTGGGGTAGCTGCAGGAATGAGTGGTGGGCCGCGGGGGACAGCGGCGGGAGTGCTGGCTGTGTTTCTGGTGCCTCGGAGGTGGGCTGGGGCTGGGACTCTGGCTCTGGGGGCCAGTCGGGCTGTGGCTGGAGGTCCGGCTCCGGCTACAGCTTCCGCTCCGGCTCTGGCCGCAGGTCCGGCCGCAGGTCTGGCCGCAGCTGTGGCAGTGAGAGCTGCAGTTGCACGGGCTGCAGGTGTGGCTTTGGGGCCGAGAGTTGCCGTGGGGCTGCGTGTGGGCGATGGGCAGGCTCTGTGTCTTGGTGTCCATGGGAGGCGGCGCTTGGGGGGCCGGAGGCCTCCTCCTCCTCCTGCAGCACACCCAGCTTTACAGAGGCCTCAACAGCCCCTGCTTTTATAGTTGAGGCAGATTGTGACATCACAGGGCACCAGGGTGTGACAGATGTGGCCAGGCGGGGACAAAGCCCCTGCCCCTTACCCTTCCCCTAGGGTGGGGCCGCTTTTAGGGCGCACTCTGGGAAAGTCCCATTTGCTGGCTGAAAGTAGGGACCCTTGGGGCGCCCAGGGGGCTCAGTCGGTTAAGCGTCCCACTGTTGGTTTTGGCTCAGGTCACGATCTCACAGTTCATGGGTTCGAGCCCCACGGGCTCTGTGCTGATGGCATGGAGCCTGCTTGGGATTCTCTCTCCCTCTCTCCCTCTCTCCCTGCCCCTGCCCCATTCGCGCTGTCTCAGTCTCTCTCAAAATTAATAAATAAAATGTAAAAATAAACCACAACCCAGCAGTAGGGACCCTTGGGTCAGATTGAGCTGGGTCCACATCCCATATCTGCTGCTTGCTTTCCTCTGGTCACTCACCTGCACCGGATGAATTAGAGCATCTATGACCAGTGGTTGGCTCAGGGCCAGCCCCCAGAAAGACCTCCATACCCGCTGTCTAAGCATCCCCAGTGCGTTTCCTTATTCCCCCCCCACGTGGCGTGCAAGCCAGGAGCACCCTCTCTGACCCCGGTGGGTGGCCGATCGGGTGCACACAGCCACACAGGCGGGTGGGCAGACGTTGAGTGGATTGGATGGCTTACCGCACGGCGGATAGGCAGATAAGAGTCGCCGGATGGACTGATGGGCGGTCCGCCTGGTGAGCTCACCTCCACAGCAGGGTTTCAAGCTGGGGGATTTAGAACCTGGTTTGAAGCCCGGCTGGGACTGATGTCCCATCTTGGGTGGAGTATTTTGGCTTTCGAGGCTTGGTTTCCTTATCTAACAAGGGGAGGTCGTTCCTTCCTTCGTGGTATTTTGGGAGCCTGAGCCTCCTGCTGCCCCCGAGAGCCTGCCTCTCCTCTGATCCCCTCCTCCTCTCCCTGCTCCGCTCGCTTCTTGATGGGGGAGCCCTGCCATACAGCCGGAATCACCCTGGCCCTGCTCAGACCCCCAGCTCCTGGGGCGGGAAGCCGGCGTCTGCGTTTGCACACGGCCCCATCCGAGCTCGAGTGGCCCTCTGGTGCTCTGTGCACAGCCGCCCACCTCTCCCCATGGTGGCCGATGCCCCTGGGCTTCGCTCTTAGCCACTCAGCCTATAGCTCCCGCATCCTGCTGCCTCAAAGCCCCCTCTGTCCTCCTCCCCCGCAGCTCCCCCAGCCAAACCCCTGCTTCTGTCTCCTGCTCACGTACAGCTTTGCCCCTTATTGGAGGCTTTGCCGTCACCTGCTTTTATTGTAGTTGATTCATAAGCCCGGCCCCTCGGTCATGGTAGAAGCCGCTCTCATTTACAGAGCACTTCCTATGTGGCTGCCTCGGCCCCACGCTTTCTATAGGCAGCCCTGTGCCCCCCCCCCCCCAAAGATATCTCCATGTCCTCACCCCTGGAGCCTGCCATGGATCTTTGCAGATGTAAGCAAATTAAGGATCTCGAGGGCATCCTGGGCTATCCAGGTGGGCCCCAAATCCAGTGACAAGTGTCCTTATGAGAGAGACAAGACCCCGGCAGAAAAACCACGTGGGGGCAGAGCCAGAGATGAGGGTGACTTGATCACACGCCAAGGAAGTCCTGGGGCCCCTGTGAGCCAGACAAGGCAGGAAGGGTCTCCCCCAGGACCTCCCGAGGGGCGTGGCCTTGTCCAGAATTTCACACTTCCGGCCTCCAGACTGTGAGAGAGCGAATCTCTGTTGTCTTAAGCCACTGAATCTGTGACCATTTATTATAGCAGCCCTAAGAAACTAACGCCCCCTGGGAGGTGGGTGTCTCCTTGTTGTCTTTTACACAGAGGAAACAGGCCCGGAGAGCTTGGGTGACCAGCCCAGAGTCCCACAGCTAGTCAGGGGCAGAGCCAGGATTCCAATCCAGGTCTGGCTCCTTCTAATGTCCTGCCTCTCGGTCATGGAGACTGCGTGTGGCCCTTTGTGTTCTAATGACTCTGCTTGTGTGAGCTCAGTGGGGTGGTTGGGGGGGGGAGGTCAGTGCTGGGCCACTCTCTGGGGACTCTGTGTGGGTCTCTGGACTGTCTCCCCCACCCTCCCCTCTCCCCAGTCTCTGCCCCCCTCCACTGCTGACTCCCGCTTCCCGGCCCTGCAGTGCGTAGTGGGGACACCGTCTGTTTTATTCATCTCCAGGCCCATGGTGCCTGGCATGGTGCCCGGCATGCAGCAGGGATTCGATGGGATGTTTGCGGGCAAATGACCGGGCCGGTGGACCCATGGGGCATGGACAGAAGGACGGGACAGGCTCAGCAAGTTCCTCAGTCGGGGCGTGGGGGTGGGAGCCCCGGACAGCAGGCCTCTGCGGGCCTCAGCGGCGGCCTCCCCTTTGAGTAACTCAGGGCCTCCCCTTGCCCTGAGGATCTCCTGGGAATACCACCCACCTCGCACGCCCCTCCCCAGCAGCCTGATCCGGATCCTTCTTGGGCCCAGGTCTCTGGTGCTCAGAGGACCAAGGGAAGAGGGTGAGAACTCATTGGTCATTTCTTTCGGCACGAAAAGGGTTAGGAGAGCCGGGGCTGGCAGTGGGTTCCAGTGCTTCTCGAAGGCCACAGGAAGGGCCGGCTTCTGCGCCAACCGCCCGTTGCTGTGATGGCGGCATTGGCAGCTGGACCTCCTGATGAAGGCAGAAGTCAGCCTGCGGCGGTGGCGAGGGACACAGCGGGTCACCCTGACCGTGAGGATGGGAGCCCTGGCTGTGGCATATACGCCTCCTGTCTTAAACTCACCCTGCACCAGGCCCGACTCCGCCCACGCTGCGGTTACTTCTCTCAGACACTAACCTGTGGGGTAGCAGGGAATCCCACCCTGCCCAGGATGGGGGGCTGTGGCTCAGAAACAGTGACGCACTCAAGGTCACCCAGCCAGCAGAAGGAAATTCGAGCCCGGGTCGGCTGAGCTCTCCAGCTCACTGGCCCATGGTGTGTCCCCCCCTTCCCCCCACCAAACTGTCTGACTCCCCATCCTGGTGACCACGCTTCCTAGCTCTGAAGCAGGGGAGGGTGGTTGAGAAGTCATGGCCAGGGGTGAGGGACGGGGGGCTCGTGAGAACTTCCAGCTGGACATCGGGAACAGGGGTCGCTGACTCCCGCTCCTCGCCCTCCCTCTGCACACACGCCCGCACACGTGCACACGGCCACACACACACTCGCACGGCACCATGGGCCGGGGGTCAGAGAGACCAGAGAGCAGAAGTCCTTGGAGACTTTTTATTGACTCTTTTCTGAAAGTTCCTCTCGCTGGAGCAGTGGCGGGAACCTCCCTGTGGGCGCCCGTCGTGGGTCAGGAGCGTGTCTGCTGGGGCTCAGGGCTCTGCTGGGCGGCGGGCGGCTCTCCCTCGGCTCCCTCCTCCTGCTGCTGCTCGGGCTCCATCAGCAGCAGCCTTCCCTGCACTGGGAGCTGCTCCTCCTCCTCTTCCTCCTCCTCCTCCTCTCCCTCCACCTCCTCTCCCTCCTCCTCTTCCTCCCCCTCTGATGACAAGGAGAAGTTATCCTGGCTCACGCAGGCCACGAGCTTCTTCATGGAGGATTCTTGGCCCCGGCCGTGGCCTGTGCCGAGCTTGGCACAGTGGGAACCCATTGCCGTCTTTGCTGCCTCTCCAGGCTGGGAGTGAAGGCCACTGGAGGTGGGGGGGGTAGAGGGGCTGTGAGGACAGTAGGCGGGGCTCTGACATCACAAAGGGACCCCTGAAGCGCCACCCCCCCCATGCCTGAGTCTGGGATGACAGCTGAAACCTCAGCAACCAGCAGTCCCACTGAGGTCCTCCCACCTCCGCGTGGTCAGAATTCCAGGCCGGCAGCCCTGCCCGGCCATGCTGTCTCATGTGTGCTGACAGAAGTCCCCCCATTTAGCTGGGATGACAGTTGGGGATAGAATGTCCAGAAGCAGGAGAGCCCATAGACTCCTCCCCACATTCCGGAAATACCCAGCCCCAGAGAGCTGTTGCCATTATGTGAAGATGGGTCAGAATAGTGGTTACTTTTGGGGGGAGCTGGTGTGAGGGAGGAGAGAGGCTGGAAATGTCTGCTTTCTTGACCTGGGCAGGGAGGGGGGGGCGCTACACAGGTGCCCTTATAGCTTGTGCCCTGTGTGTAAGCTGTGAGTCACAAGTCTCTGTCCACGCAGCCATAGCGCACGATTTCAGCCCGGAGGTGGGAGTCATTTCTGAGCATGCAGGATGGGTCCTTTTTCTGCTCCAAATCCTCAGGGCTCTTGAGGTGGGGACATGACGCTGGGTGATCCGGGTGGGCCCTAATGGGGACAGGCCCGTGACTGGAAGTGTTCTGCCCTGGAGTCTCCAGAGGGAGCACAGCCTGGCCAACAGGGATTGAAAAGTTTGTGGTGCGTCTGAGTTTGGCTCAGGTCATGGTCTCACTATTCAAGGCCTCCCCCACTTGTGTGCACTTGCACACGTGCTTGCTCGCTCTCTCTCTCTCTCTCTCACACACACACACACACAATAAAAGCACTTCCATCCAGCCCCTTGCCTTCGGTCACCCACGCTGGCCTTGCTCTTGCTGGAGCCTGCCAGACCTGCTTCCCATCTCCGTGGAATTCTCCCTCTCGCCAGCCCCTCAGCACATCCTTACCCGCCCCTCCCCCCCGGGTATTTCTTTAGAGCCCAGCCAGCAAGTTTATTATCTCAAGCTTTATTTGGCAGATGACTGGTGCACATTGTAGTCAAGAGGTCGTGGGCTCCCTGCCGACTCGGGGGTGGGCACCCAGCGTCGGGGGGATTGCTTTGGTCTTGCGAGGTGGTTCTCTGGTGGGCGCCTTTTCCTTAATTTCCGTCCGGGGGTGTGACGGGCCCGGGAAGGTTCAGTGTTGGCTCTTGCATCTCCTCCTCCTGGCCATTCTGTAGCCTTTTGGAAAAGAGTTCTGGTTATGGGGCTCAGGGGGGTCATGGGGTGGGGTCCCAGGGCCAGCCTGGGTGTGCCAGGGGCAGGAGCGGGGCTGGGGGGGTGTCCCCAGGGGACGGGCCCCAGGGCCATCCTGGGCACACCAGGGGCAGGAGCGGGGCTGGGGTGGGGGGTGTCCCCAGGGGACAGGCCCCACCTCCGCGTTGGCCCCTGCAGGCGCGTGTGCGGCGCCGCCTCCTGCAGGAGCTCCTCTGCCTCCTGTGGACCCTGTACCGCCTCCTGCGGAGGCAGCGCCGGTGTCGGTAGTAGCGCTCTTTGGAGACCCTCCAGTCCCCCTGGACGTCCTCTGGGTTCACTGCCTGCTCCTGCTCCTGCTCATCGAGCTGCTGGCCCTGCTTCCGCCCCCGCTGGGGACGTCCGCTCGGGCTCTTCGCGCGGCACTGGACCATGTTCCCAGGGCAGGAGGCTTAGGCTGATGGCACAGCTGGCCTTGGGGGCAGGGGAGGAGGGCTGAGGCCGGCCCACCTGCTCTTGCTGTTAACGTCGGTCTGCTCTTCCGGCCGCTCTCTGCGGACTTGTATATAAAGGGGGCCCCCCACTATGACTCGGTGGCCCTGCCCCGCCCATTGTTCCCACGCCGACCCGTCCCTTTACACCTGGCAGGGCCTGCAAGGGGAAGCCACCCCCTTGCCTTGGCTAAAAAATGTGTCCCTGGTCCCTTGCGGCGCGTGGGACTCTCCATCGCAGCTGGTGTAACCCTCACACCCTCGTTCCTGAAGCTTCCTCCCCGCCCTGGGGCTGCGCCTCGATCTGGGGTTTTGTAAGGGGTTGTCACTGCATCCCTTTACTCTCCAATTCCTCTTTTTCCACAAAGAGGTGATGTGGCTTGCTCCAGGTCACTCTGCAAATACGGGGCAAGGCTGGGCACCAGTCTATGCCCTTGGCCTTCACCCCTTCCCAGTCCAGGTGGTGCTCCCCTCCCGCCCAGGTGGTGCTCCCCTCCCGCCCAGGTGGTGCTCCCCTCCCAAGGTGTCCTGATCCTTTCTCCTGGACCTCACTGTCCTTTGGAGGATCCCACTGAAATCCAGAATCAGTCGGAGCACCTGTACAGCTCCTTACCCTGTGGACGTGACCTGAGGTGCAAGGGGACTCTTGGGCCGGGAGATGGGGAGGTCATCCTGGGGTATCTGGGTGGGTCCAGTGTGGGAACACAGGGGCCTCCGCGAGCTGGGAAAGAGGAGAACAGCTCTTCTCCCCTAGAGCCTCCAGAAGGAACACGGCCCTGCCCGCACCTTACTTGATTTTAGCTCCATAAAACCCAATGCAAGATAATAAATTTGCGTGTTAAGCAATGAAGTTTGTGGGGATTTGCTTGATTCCATCCTAGTATTCATATGCTGTGTAGCGCCACCCTAAATATGTGCGCCCAGGAAGCACCCAGACGGCTTGTAAAAACTTGTCCCGGGATGTGGGGGGATGGGAGGGGAGTCTGCGTCCAGCCATCCTGCCTGTATACAGTCAGATAAGCAGGATCCGACAAGTGGGTTCAGTCCCATTCCATGTCCTTACTGGCAAAGACCGGGTCATCTGTACCTGGATGTCATGAATGCATGATGCTCAAAGTGACCGCAGAAATGTCTCGGCCGTGACTTCCATGTACTGAAGTCACTGATGGAATGCTCTGGGCGTTGCCACTGTGTGACTGTGTCGAAGGACCTGACCGAGTCTGCCTGGCTCACAGTTTCCCTAGTGTCTTGTGAACCATGTCCACATCTCCCTGGGATTTTAAACCCTCGGGCACCCCGCGGTTGAGTGGGCAGAGGAGATGGGCAAGTTTCCTCCTGCCCTGAGCTACTTGTACTGCCCTCAGACTTGTAGGGCGGTTACATGCCCAGGACAGGAAGGCAGAAACCTCAGCGGGTGCTCTGTGATATAGGGGTAAACCTCCCGGTGAGGGCAGGGAGCAAGTCCTGAGCCAGGTGTGTGGCCCAGATCAGGCTGCACACTGAGCACAGCTGGGGAGAAGCCCTCAGAAGCCGGGGGGACCCGCTTCTGGGGTCCCCCCTGGGTGGGGGTCCCCCCTGGGTGGGGCTCCCCAAGGGCTGGCTGGTGCGGGAGCAGATTTGCACTACCCGAGTGTGGCGAAGAGTCTGGAACAAGATCCAGTGCCCGTCGCCTCATGGCCCCTCTTTCCAGCATCCCCCCGAAGCCTCCCCCACCACGAGCCCCCCGTCAAGGCAGAGAGGGGAGACGGCAGCTATTTTTTTCATCATTTATTGACAGGCGGCATTGTTCGTTAGCAGGCTCCTGTTGGGGTCATGGTGCCGGTGGCGTGTTCAGCGAGGTGGCGGGTCCGTCTTGACTGGCTGGTAGAAGTTCAGGCAGGAGTGCGGTGGGCTTGGAGCCGGCGCGTGGATCATCTTCTCCTACACCTCATGTAGCGGCGGCGACAGCACACTGAGGGGCGCAGCAGGGAGAGGGGCTTTCAGCGCGGCCGCGGGACCCCCGCCCCAGCTCCCCCTGCCCCCCCACCAGCACGGAGCGCCCCTTGCCTCTCCTCCTCCGCCTCCTGCAGCATCGCCTCCTCCGTCGGCGGCACCGGCGTCTCCGGCGCCGGCACCTGCTCCTGCTGCGGCAGCATCTGTATCTGGCCATGGTGCTGGGTGGATCCGGCCCGGATGCTCAGAGCAGGGGGTCTGCCTTGGTTGAGCCAGCCAACCTGTGAGCAGGTGGAACTTGGTGGGCTGTGGGCTGGGGGGCCGGCTCGCAGGCCTCTTATAGACACAGGGCGGGGCCCTGGGCACTGTGAGGTCGCAGGGGCCCCGACCTCACAGACGCTGCCCCGAGCTGGCCTGATCGCGTCCATATATGGGCATGTGGGAGGCCCTTGGTGACAGCAGGGCGGGGACCGGCCCCGGCGCATTGGGTGCTCCCCACCCTCCCCGCGCCGGTCACCGGCCGAGGGGAGACAAGGGGACTTCTCTGTCAAGGCCACTCAATCAGTCAGTCAATAACCAAAAACTCTTTTGAACACCTAGTATGTGCTCGACTCCGGGCTAGGCCCTGGCGTACAGCAATACGTGAGGCAGGCGTGTTCCCGCCTCATCAGCTGTATGTTTGCCTACCCACGGGAAACGTGAAGCAACCACACAGAACAATTAAAACGGCGGGAAATGCTGGGAAGGGAAGCCTGAGGCTTTTTTACGAAGGTATATGTTGAGGCGGGGGACTCGATCTCAGGGAGGCGACAGGATATGTGAATGGCTAAAGGGAGAGTCCGGGATGGGGGAGGGAAAAGCATGTCGGGAGCGGGAACAGCGGCTGTGAGGTTCTGAGGCAGCGCACAGTGTGGGTTCTGTTGATGTGAAGGGTCCAGAAGACGGACATCCGTAGTCACACAAGTCGGTCGGTGGCCGCTCGTGCCACCAAGGAACCAAGGAGTGACTGCTTAGTGGACACAGGGCTTCCTTTTGGGGCGAAGGAAAAGTTTCAGAACTTGGTGGGGGTGGTTACACAGCGGTGTGAACACACTAAATGTCCCTGAATTATTTTTTTCTTAAAGCTTATTTATTTTGAGAGAGAGAGAGAGCGTGGGGTGGGGCGGGGAGAGAGAATCCCCAGCAGGCCCCCTGCCATCAACGCAGAATCCGATGCAGGGCTCGAACTCACAAACCCATGAGATCATGACCTGAGCCGAGGTTAACAGCCAGACACTTAATCGATTGAACCACCCAGGCGCCTCCCGAGTCACTTTAAAATGGCAAATTTGGGGGCACCAGGGTACCTCGGTCCATTAAACGTTTACTCTTGATCTCTGGGTCCTGAGTTCGAGCCCCGTATTGGGCTCCATGCTGGGCGTGGAGCCTACTTAAAAAAAAAAAAAAAAAAAAAAACAAATCATAAAATGGTGGGTTTTATATTATGTGAATTTCACCTCGATTGAAAAAAGAGAAGTCCCAAGGCTGAGAAAGCGCTGGTCAAGTGTAAGGAGTTGAAGGAGACCCCGTGGGTGGGGCAGAGAGCATGGGTGAACTTGAACAAGATGGGTCAGCCCACTCTGAGCTTTGTGTGATCTTTCCCGGGACCCTTGTGAGTCCGAGGGATAAAGAGGGTAGCAGTTAGCATTAGATTTGATTAGTTTTAACCATAAACCAACATAACTGACTTGTGGATGTAAGTTTTACATTTTACTTAAGAAGCTAGAGGTGCTGGGGCGCCTGGGTGGCTCAGTCGGTTGAGTGTCCACCTTCGGCTCAGGTCATGATCTCATAAGCCCCACGTAGGGCTCACTGCTGTCACAGAGCCTGCTTCAGACGCTCTGCCTCCCCCCCCAGCCCCTCCCCTGCTCACACGCAGTCTCTCTCCCTTTCCCTCCCTCCCTCTCTCTCTCAAAAATAAATACACATTAAGAAGTCAGAGGTGCTTTGGCATATCGCGTCCTTGTTTTGGGGACACACACTGGAATATTTGGGCACGAGGGGCATCATTTTGCCAGTTGCTCTCGAGTGATTTAGAAAAAGAAAGTAGTGATGGGCGCGTATCTAGGGAAAGAGTGAGAGAGAACAGAAGGAGAATGAGTAGCGGAGCACGTGGAATAGAATGTTAACACTTGATCAGTCTGGGCGAAGGGGAGTTCTTTGCATGGTTTTTTCTGTAACTTTGAAGTTATTTCAAAATCAATTATTAAAACTATTTAAAAAAAAAAAAAGGGAAGAGAGGTTAGGAGGAAGGACTTTTCCAGGGCTGGTATAAGGGGTTCCACCTTTCCAAAGGGCCCAGGCTTCTTTTATCTTCTGGCTCTGCCCTCAGCAAATGCTTTCTGTACCCAAGGTTGCCCCCTAGTCCAAAACCAGGGCTGCCATGGACGGTTGTGCATTTTGTGTACTGCTCAAAGCTCTCCAAGGGGTTGAATGGGGACTGAAATCCAGCCTGTGCTCTGCTTGCCAAGCCAGGCCCAGCATGCACAGGCGGGCTTCTGCCCACAGGAGCTGTTTTCTAATTGACTGCTCACAGTAGAAGTCTTTTTCTAATTCGAACAAAAGCACACTCAGGGCTAGCCTCAGCCCTGCTGGAAATTCAGCCATATCCACTGTCCGAGCAGGAGGGAAGAAGAGGAAAAAGAAGTTCTTACCCTATAAAGAGCTTTCCCAGACACCCCACCCAGCAACTTCCCTTTAGATCATTTGCCTTACTTTAAGAGCACCTGGCCCTTTGGGATAAAGCTGGGTTCTTTCCAAGGAGAAAGGGGCCAGTGGATAGTTAATGCATTTTGCTCCAGAGGGAATGCAGCCAGAAACTTCCAGAACCCTACTCCCCAACCCACAGTAAGGTGGGAAACCATGAATTAGAAGCTAAAGTCCACTGGATAACTAAGAGTGCTACACCTAACACGTGGGAAGTTAGTACCTTTTCATTAATTGACTCCTGTATAGATTCAATTAAAAAAAATTTTAGCATTTATTTATTTTTGAGAGACTGGGGGGGTGGGGTGGGCAGGGGCAGAGGAAGAGGGAGACACAGAATCCCAAGCAGGCTTCAAGCTGTCAGCACAGAGCCCGACGTGAGG